AATTTTACAGAGAATTATAAAATATACACTTGATACTGAAGATATTATATACCATATATAGAGAAACTTATAGTATGTTCGGCCAATTTTAAAATTTTACTTATTTCAAATTATTAAAGTTTAAATATTAAATATATTTAAAACAAATATCATGCATTATATGTTATTGGTTTTCTTAAACCGAGTCTATCAAATGAAAAAAAAAAAATATAACAATAATTATTTTAAAAAAATAAATATAAATAGATAGACAGACCTTACACCTACCTCAAAGATAAAGAGAGTGTTTTCAATAGATCATCGACTTAAAGAAAATTAATCCAAGGCAATCTAAAAAAAAGTAACAGAAATACAAGAAAAAGTAGATAGTAGCAAAAAATAATACACAGTAAAAAGGCAACAACTACAAAATGATAGTTAAAGTACAAAAAAAAAAAAGTAGTAACAGATATTAAAAGACGAACAACTACCGGAGCAATCCTACAACTACTACCTATTACCCTTCTAACTTAATTCGTACTCTCTACAACCTTCTATCTAAAGTCATATCCTCAGCAAGTTGAAACCGTGTCATGTTATTTCTAATCATCTTCCCCTCTATGTTTCTTTAGTCTACCTCTGTCTCTCTTGAAACCATCTTGATTAGCATCTCACTCGTTGCACTGGGGCATCTGTACATCTTCTCCTCATATGTCCAAATCATCTCAATCATTGCGTTCAATCTCTTGTCCTCCATCAAAACCACTCACAGTTTGTCTCAAATATCCTCATTACTAATTTCTTTTCTCCTAATATGCTCATACATTTATTGCAATATCCTCATTTCTTTAACTTTTAACTTCTTAATATGAGAGTATTTTGTTCCCGATGTAATTAACAATTAAAATAAAATTCTTTGTTTTGATTGTTACCAGAAATTTTTCTAGTTATTGTTCATTAGTAAAAAAGTTTTCAAAAGGCTATAAGTTATCTCATTCTTCTGTCCTTAACAAGAAATGTTAGGATTCAATTTTTTTTCTAGGAGAGCAATTTCCTTCTTAATGAGCCTTGAGTTAGTATAAGTTTAAATTAGTCAGAACTCTAAAAGAACGTTGGAATTGATCAGAAGTAATTAAAAAGTAATCAAAAGAACGCACAATAGCAATCTTTTATCATTTAAAAATAATTGGTTTAAAACTAAAAATTTACAATTTAATATTTAAATACAAAAATATAATATGAAATTAATGATATTAATAAATATCAAATTTTGTATAGAATATATTGTAATCCTTACCAAATTTGGAGAGTATGTTTCTAAAATTAGTTGACTTAACTATGGTTATGATATTTGCTAATATAATATAATCTTGACCTTTAATCTTTAAATATGACACATATCTCTAATCTAGACGTGCACTTGACGAAATGGAGGGAAGGGAATCAGGGATAATGGAGGGGAGCCGGATCCATATAATATAGGTTGGACATTGATCATCAGAACCCACACCCCACCCACCCACCCACCCCAAAAAAAAAAAGAGAAAAGAAAAGAAATTGAAGGATTGTTTACTCCAATTATTCAATCAATTTGCTTTGGTTTTTGGCAAGATTCGAAGAATCAATAAAAGGAAAGGATTCCAATATTATTAGAGAATCAAGAGAAAAGCTTTTCCCCATTATGTTCCATCACAAACAATTCTGTGTATAATTGATAGTATTATTTTGTAAGAAAATAAATAAAATTATCACTTTAATTTATTTTTAAAAAAATAAATTATATTTGATGTGTAGAGATTGTTTGTACCATATGAAATGGTTATCTTAAAGTATAATAGTTACTACTATATATTGTTAATTAGTAAATTTTTATAAAATTATGTGAATTTGAAATTTTGTAATCATTAATATTTATAAAAAAGTATACGGAGATATGTAATTTATTAATACATTGCCTCTGAATATTTCAATATCTTATTATATGAATTATGATTTATTCATTTGGTAAAATTGTATATAAATTAGGAAAATTTCGATAGTTTACATAAATGGTGAGGTTTTCATGTTTACAAGAGAAAATGCAATTTAAAACTTATTGTTGAATACTAAATGTTTATGAAATTATAAGTATCTAAAAGTTTGTAATAACACACATTTATTTATGAAAGAAACAAAGAAATATGTTATTTAATTTATCAATGTAATATTTTAAGATTTCTCAATATCTTATTTATGAATTATAATTTGCTCATTGATAAAATTGTATAAGATTTTGAAATTTTTTACAACTTATAAACTTCTCATATTTACAATAAAAAATACAACATGAAAAATTGAAATTTTATATTCAAATAAAATTTTTAATTTCAAATCAAACTGATTTTAAATCCGACAAAATAGGCCTAAATATCTCACACAAATACAAAGGCGTTTAAAACATGTCAACAAAATTACATTACTTTTTATTCAAAAGAATTTGTTACTAATATAAAAAAGAGAGTATTTTATTTCTTGTCTCGTTTTTTGTGTTGGCCTAAGTTAACCAATTTTAAATGTAAAATATTTCTGAATTTTTAAATTGCCATTTTAAAAATAAATAGATTAAGATTAAAAACGTGGGAAGGTGAAATTAATGTGCTTTATGTATAGTTACCAAAAAAGAGTGTTCTATACTATGGTAGGTGAAGGATAATTAAGCACGATAATATTTTCATTTATAAAGTTCTCAAAACATAAGTTTATGGGTGTGTTCGATAAATGAAAGGTAATTTAATAGTTGTTGAATTTATATAAATTCGTAAATGATCTTCTAGATCTGCCTTTATATAAAAAATAATGTAATTACTTCCCCATTTCAAGTGATTTTTTAGCACTTTCTAATTTATTAGCTAAATAGTATTTTTTTTTAAATCAAGAAGATATTAAAAATATTCTACAATTATCATTGTTTAATAAATGTTAAATAAATTTCTAAAAAGTATTTCTTTTTTTTTTTCATTTTTCTGTGCATAATAATATACATTAAAGGGACCTTTGATAAAAAAATTATTAAATTTATATTATTAAGTTTTTTTTAGTGAATGTGTTAAATTCTTTAAAAATACTTTAAAAGGAAATAGAGGGAATACGAAATATTTGGTAAAAAGATTTTCTACTTTATGCTATATTTCAAAAGTTTCCAAAAGTAATAATAATAAAAGAAATAAAACCATAAAAGAAAGAAAGAAACAAAAGTATAAAACAAAACATTCATCAATGATTGAAATAGACATGCACTAATTAACATTAAATCTTCAAAACTCTCGTCTTATTTACACACACAAATCATATAATTTAATATACTTGATCATCAATTAATAACAATATGTAATTTAAAATTTTAAATTGTTATATTTTGACCATAATTGAATATATTACCTTTAAATATGAAGTAAATGTATCAATTTTACATATCATGAATGATTAAATAGTTAATAAATATTCGTAAGTAAGGAAGTTAAAAATGTAACTAAATGTGTCTAATTTAAGGGACCAAAAATACTAGTAAATCAAATTGCCTAATCAGTCAAAAGACATAGTTGCCCTTCTTATAGAAGCCTATAGGTGGACGTTCGGTTCGGTTTAATCAAATTTTGGTTTGGTTCTTCGGTATTCGGTTTTAGAAAAGTGTGCACCATATTTCAAACCAAACTAGATCGGTTCGGTTCGGTTTTTTCTACTTCGGTTCGGTTTAGTTCGATGTTTTTAAATCGATTTTTCGATGTGAATAAAAATAAAGAGAGAATATGATAAAGTAACAATTGTTGTTCACTTCACACTTCAAACTTCAAAATAACAACTAACAGTCTAACAATCAAAAGTAATAACATCAAAATAGTTTTGTTTAGGCTGTGTGCCCTTTACTGTTTTGAAGTGTAAATGATAAAGTGTGCCCTTCATTGTTTTGAAATGTAGATGATAAAGTGTGCCCTTTACTGTTTTGTTTAGGCTCCAAAATTTAAAATTGAAATGGACCAGGTAAATATTTTGAGTCAAAATATATAAGTATTATTAAATAATATAATTTAAATGTTTTTAAATTTATTTAATAAAGCTTCGGTTCTTCAGTGCACCGTAGTTTTGGGACCCTTACACTGAACTCCGAACCAAAGAATCAAAATTTCAAAATAAAAGAATTAACACCGAACCGAAACACTGAAGAACCAAAATAATTCGACTCAATTTAATTTTTTAATTTTTTTATATTTATGCCCACCCCTAGAAGCCTAACATATTTTTACAAGCCTATGAAAATGAACGAGCTATAATATAACTAGAGTCAATAGAAAAATTTATATTGATCCAATATGATTTATGAGTAATTTTCAAATGTTTTATACATAACATTAAATTTTGTCAGTTTGTCATAATTTGTGTGATACTGCTATTAAACTTGAAACCATAACAATTGAAAAGAGTTCGTAAGTTTGACCAACATAATAACTATAGATTGAATATAGGGTAAAATCTTATTGATTTATTATAATTTTCACGTCATAATTATCAATATTGTTTTACTATATTTGACACTCAACTAAGGGCATCTCCAACCTTGAGGATATTTTTAATTTCAAATTTTATCATTAAACATAAGAAAAATAATTTACAAATAACTTTTAAATACCAATACAAAAAAGAATATATTTATGTAAATCCCTTCTCTTCTGTATATCGTTATTTCTTATTTTCTGTTCGATATTTATATTAAAATTTAAATTCATATTAAACATTATAATGCTTCCAAATAAAAATAATATTTTTATATAAAAAAAAGTTAAATTTAAAACCTTCAATTATAAATTTTAAAATATACTTATCATTGTATCTCAATACTTATGATGGATTCCTTTCCTTTTAACGAGTCTTGATCACACTCATTAGTCATAAGTCGTTTTTATCCAAGCAACACTCTCTTGTCTTAACGAGTCGTACTCATCATCCCTTTATATTAGAAAGAGTCCAATAAAATTTTATCTCACCACCTTAATTTCCGCTGTTTTTTTCGCGTCACACAAATGTCTTCCTAAAGTCCAAACTTTTTTTCATTTTCTTCTTAAATCTATTTGCCGGAACTCGTGGGTAATATTTTTGCTTTGTGGGGTTGTGTTAATTTCTCTGAAAATCAAAGAAAAGTCTCTGTTTTTTCTTGGGTTTGAGTAATCTTGAAAAGTTTTAGCTGAAATTACTGTTAATTTTAGCTTGTGGGTTTTGACTGTTGTCAGAAAATCTCGCCGGAATCATCGGTTTCCGGTCATCGGAAGCATAAAAATCAAAACTTTATGTTATGTTTTTCCATATATAATACATAAAATCCCGTTTTTATCTCCCCTCTTCTCTTACCCTGTTTTTTTTTTTTTTTTTGTCTCTGTTTCATTCTTTGGTGAGAGAGAAAGAGAGAAAAAGTTTCTGTTTTTTTTTCTTTTATTTTTTTCTCAATTTCTCTCTTTTTTGTGTTTTTCTTTTGTATAATTAATGACAATGGAAAAGGGTTCAATGCAATCAAATCTTGATTGTTTTCTTAATTGTACAACCCCATTAGTCCCATCTCAGTTTCTAGCCAAGGTTTGTTTTTTATTTGATAAATTTTATTTCTTGATTGTGTGTATAATTTTGTGTTTATATGATTATTAATTTTTTGGTTTTTGTTGGTGTAGAGTGAGATTAGAAACCTGAATAAGCTATGGCATCCATGGGAAAGGGAAAAGGTGGAATATTTCAAGTTGGCTGATCTTTGGAATTGTTTTGATGAATGGAGTGCTTATGGGGCTGGAATACCTATTAGATTGGATACAGGGGAAACTTTGGTTCAATATTATGTTCCTTATCTTTCAGCAATTCAAATATTTACCAGCACTTCACCTGCAAACTTTTTAAGGTATACCCCTTTTGTTTACATTCTTGTTTTATCTCAATTTGATCATAATACTAGAGTTTGGTTGTTGTTTGGGGGTGAGGGGGTTGTTGCTTCTTTAAATGTTTTTCTAAGAATTGGAAAGCTTGATCACGAACGGAGTCAGGTGGGGCCGAGGGGATTCATCTGAATTTTTATATGTAAATATAGTATATGTTGAACCCCTTTGTGAAAATCCTAGCTCCACCGCCAAGGTTAATGCTTATGAACTATGTTGAGCTGGTCAAAATTTGGACAAGGTGGTTTCTTGATTTCTGTTGAAGTTTACACTGGTTTTAGAATTGTTGTTTATTTTGGTGATCATGTGTTTCTTGAAGTTTAGTCCTTCATAAGTTTGTTGATTGTAGCACTAGAATTTGGTTTGGGGTGGGGGTGGGGGGGGGGGGGATGGAGGGTGTTTTTGCCTTTTTAAATATATTTCTAAAAGTTGGAAGGTTGAATGTTTATGCACTATGTTGAGCTGGTCAAAATTTGTAAAGGTGGTTCCTTGCTTTCTGTTGAAGTTACACTGGTTTTAGAATTGTTGCCTTTTTTTTGGTGATCATGTGTTTCCTGAAGTTGACTCCTTCATTAGTTTGTTGATTACTTGGTGAACCAACTAAGGTCAATAATGGTTATGCAGAAGAATGAACAGGTAACTGACACTGTTATAACACGTCAAATTACAATGATTTTGTAAAAATGTGTGTTCCTTTTAGGGAGGAGGCCGAATCTGTTTGCGAGATGAGGGATTCTTTCAGCGATTCGTTAAGTGATGAGAGCGAGAATGAAAAGCTATCGAGGTGGGACGGATGCTCCTCTGAGGAAGGTGTAGTTGAACAAGATAGCTTAAGCAGAACGAATGATAGATTGGGCTACCTATATTTTCAGTATTTCGAGAGATGTACTCCATATGGAAGAGTTCCTCTAATGGATAAGGTATCATCTTTACCAGATCATGTCATTTTTGTGCAATAAAGAAATCTATATAGAGTTATGGAGTGTTACCATGTTAGGTGTTAGTTACTTTTCTCGCTTCTTATAATGTACTTTGTGAAATTATGTGGTAGAATCAGATAAGTTTGTTGTAGTTCATCATGTAGAATGTTGCAGTTTCTTCTGCTTCTTAATTTTCTTCCTTTAAGCCATTAGATTATAGCCTATAAATCATAGGCATAAAATGGAATATTTGTTTTAATTAGTATAATCAACTAATAAACGCCCTCTATACAGTTTTTTCCCGAAACCATCAGTAGCATAATATCATATCATCTGATATATAATTAGAAGCATATGTTCTTTCTTTATGAAGTTAGATTAATGTAATGCTGTTTTATGATGATAAGAGTATTAATTCCATGTGAAATATGTGGTTTGTATGTTCAAAATATGTTTCTTTCTTTTGATTGACGTGAGTCTAACACCAGCTCATGCTGCCTTTCAGATTAATGGCTTTGCTGAAAGATACCCTGGACTAATGTCATTGAGAAGTGTAGATCTTTCGCCGGCTAGTTGGATGGCAGTTGCTTGGTATAGCAGCCTTTACTCTCTGTTTGCAACTTATGATCTCGGAATCTGTCGTTAATCTATATGACTTTATCAAATTGAAGTGATTTAGATGCATTAAACTATGTTTCCATCCAAGTACTTATATAAGGTGACGTAAAATTTTATATTTACCTTCCGTTAGTGGCCAAGAAGAATCAGGCGATCATGTTTTCTCTGTAGCATATCCTACATGATACCATGTCATTGATGCTTTATTCTTTTATTGTTTCTGTCTTGCTTCTTTCTTTGTAACCATCAAATATGGAAAAGGGAATAAAGGAATGATCGGGTCACTAACTTTATTGAGGTGAAAAAATGTAGGTATCCGATATATCACATTCCCATGGGGAGAACCATTAAGGACTTATCGACGTGCTTTCTCACTTTCCACACCCTTTCTTCTTCTTTTCAAGGTATTATTCCTTTTGTCCTTTGAACAAGTGAATTCACCATTGCTTATATTCCCTTTCAATTCCAAGCTTTTATTCTTTACTCTACTAGTGTCTATTCGGAATATTCTTTACTCCATATTCTTCATTTCTTGTCCAGATATGGACCTTGAAGATGACATGGAGAATGGTAGTAGGAAAAGAAAGGAAGGGGAGAGCATCTCTCTCCCACCTTTCGGTTTGGCCACTTACAAGATGCAGGGTGACGTGTGGATTTCTGATAGAAACGGAAGGGACCAAGAAAGGCTGATGTCACTTTTTAGCGTGGCTGATTCTTGGCTAAAACAATTGGGGGTTCAGCACCATGACTTCAACTACATGAGTATTCGTCGTGGTTGATGAAAAACTTGAACGATGAAATCATCTTTGCACGCTAACAATGGAATTGACTACCGGAAATCCTTTTCTACTTTGGAATCTTGTTTTGTCACTTGAAAGCATGATCAGCCTTTGAACTGAGAATCGTCAATGCATCTTATGTAAAGGCATTAGGCTTTTATGCAGTCCCTTCCTTTTCCTAAGTCGAGGATCGCAGTAATCTTATGCTTGTGATTTCTGTGACTACTTTTTTGTATAGGAACGAGCCTAGCTTTTACGCGATAAAACTTGAGATGAAGCATGAGACGAGCTGTAGTGGCTCGTTGTAACTGTGGACTAAATCGGGGCACATCAGATGTCAATGAAGTCCTTTCTCTTGAATGCAGTTCTTGCAACCCTTCATTTGTTTAGTTGGTCTTGTGCTTTGTAAAATTGTTATGCTAAATATGTGATGTTTATACAGAGAAAGAACTAATCTATTACTCTAGTAGTTGATCTAATTGCAATGCAGACAAATTGCAAGAAAAGATAACACTATGAAAAATCATGGTTCAAATCCTATTTACACATGCCTAAACATTGTTGGGAGTGATGGAGTAGTAAGTATTCATTCATCCTTAATCACTAGTCTCAAGTTCGAGCCTCAGGTATGTAGTCATATTTATTAGAGAGTATTTACCCTCCAATGTGGAACTTCCTAGAATAGATTTGAATTAGAGTCGAGTTTTGATTCATCCTTAATTATAGAGTCTTGGATTTGAGCCTTAGATATGGAATCATCTTTATTAGAGAGGATTTACCCTTCAATGTAGAACTTCCAAGCATAGATTTGCAATTAGTCGCGTTTCATTTCATTCTTAATCAGTGGTCTCGAGTTGAAGCCTTAGGAATGTAGTTGTCTTTGTTAGGGAGTGTTTCTTTTCAATGTTGGACTGCCAACGTAAATTCGAATTTAGTTGAGTTTCAATTCATCCTTATTCAAAAGTTTCTGGTTTGAGCCTTAAGTATGAAATCATTTTTGTTAGGGAGTGTTTCTCTTTAATGTAGGACTTCCTAATATAATTCGAATTAAGTCGAATTTCAGTTCATCCTTAATAAGAAATCTCGAGTTTCTGTCTTAGGTATGAAGTCATCTTTGTCAGAGAGTGTGTCTCTTCAATGTAGGACTTTCACACGTAAATGCGAATTTAGTCGGATGCCAATGCGAATACCAGATATTAGTAAAAAATCCAATAGACAAGTACCACAAATTTTAATGAAATAATTGATGTGCGCACAAATTGACTCGACCGATACCGGTATTCACATTGAATGAGTTAGTTGATACTTTAATTGATCTCCCTAAAAGTCTAAAACCTTATGTGGGCTCCTCTTTACAAATTGCAATAAATAATTCAAACTTGAATGAAGTAATAGAATGTTGGTTATATACTCTATAGAGTTGAAAAAATATTTTTAAATTGTCCATTATAAGGTAGGGATAATATTATGTACACTATTTTTCTTATTATAAAATTATTATTAAATATATTATTGTTATATTTGTGTGAATTGAAATAAAAATCTAGACATAAGTTTGCTGGGGGGGGGGGGGGGGGGGAGGTTTTTTTTTAATTATTTGATATTCAAAGTTTGTTGATCTGATCAATTCAGCTTCACACACAAAACAAAAATGGAGATCAATGAAAGTGATACTATAACAAATAAATGATTTAACAGTAATAATATAATTGCAGATATATTATAAATATGAATATCTATAACCAACATTCTATATAAATACTGTTAAAATTTTTAGTGATTTTAACTGCAATGATATTAATTATCGTTAAATATTTTTGTAACAATAAATATTGTTGTTAAAAAAAAATAATCTACTACCACTAAATATATATTTTGTTTAGTGTTAACATAAGAGATCTTAGAAATTAATACAAAAAATCTTCTTAGGACATTATCTTATGTTCACATGAAATTATTTCCTCTTTACTCTCATACAACTAGTGGCAAAAACAGATGCACATTGTCAACAAAACTGTCAAATCAGAAATGGTGATTGTAATAAGATGGATAAGATTTTTTTAATTTTTAATAGAGGCTTTAAGTCTGAATCTTTGATATATATATAAAAAAAATTTGTTAGGAAACAAAAATTCTTATAAATAAATTTCACACTGCATGAACTTATATTAGCGATCAATACTAAAAATAAATAAATATCACATCACTGATTTATAGAGTAGAAAAGATATACTACCATCTGTAGTCCATTTTTAAGTGTCCTTTTAGTCAAATAAATTTGGTCCAAAATAAAGTACTCATCACTTTTAAAAAATTAAAAAGCATTAATACTTTTTTTCCCCAAATTTTACCTTGGTCTAATTAATAATTTATACAATATTCCAAAAATCTTCTCAACAGTATTCACTCTTTTTTTAAAACCTTAAACAATATTTAAAGTTGTCTTATTCTGCATTTCTTTAAAATGTCTTTTTTTTATAGCTTAAACTCGTAATCTATAGTTACTTAAGAATAATTTTATCAATCACGTTAAAATTATTTTTTCACTAACTTAATGCATCAAACTGTTTTTTTTTAATTTAAAACTATGTTTAAAATGGACATGAGGAAACATGTAGTTTAGTACACTATTTTAAAACTATGTGCTTGTACTAAATTTTTATCTCTTGTAATAAAATACTATTAGGTACTCACTTACATTCTTAAATTATCTCACTACACAAGTCATGATTTGGAAAAAAAAATAAAAAAATTTGAGGTAAAATACAAAAATGTCCAAAATGAGAGATAGATTCTAGCCATCAGTGGTTGGATTAGCCTTCGGACTTTTTTTTCTTCTATTTTTATTGAGAAAAAAGAGATCTAACTAAAGTTGAACATTCATCATTGTCATGATGATGCGATTGAATATTTATCGATCTAACATCCGACCAATCAAATATATTCTTGAGTTCGATTTTAATTTATAAGTAATTTCCTTCTCGAAAGAGAAATAGTTATTAGGTCAAGAATGAAATGTGAAGAAAAAAGATAAACAATTAGTGGGAATCATCCGTTGTCGGTCCATATTGGATAGTTTACTCAACTAATCTTGTCTTCACATCCTCTAATCCTTAATCTATCGTTTAACTTTAATATACTAAATATTTAACAATCAACACAGACCCAACAAATTATATTAAAAGTGGTCTTATATATTTTTTCTGTCTTGGTTTACTTAACACACTTATCTTTTTAGTCTATTTTTTAAAAAAAAGCGTCTCAAATTCTTATTTGATAAATATTTATTAATGTTATCAATATTTTGACGTAGAAGTTAAAACTCAACTATAAGTGAAAAAACATTGGTAAAACACATTTAAAGTATAACCATTGATATTTCAAAAATATCCTCGACATATAACAAATATATCAACAAAGAGGTTTAAAATTACAAAAATGTTCTCAACATAACGCAGACACATCGATAGAGAGGCGAAGTCATTCAACACTTTAAGAGTTAGGTTTCGACTTTTTGCGTCCATTAATTATCCCATTGGAATTAATTATCTTGGACTTTTACCTAATATTTTGTTCCTAGGATGATGTACAAACTACAAAGCAGTATTAATCAAGAACTTAATTGTGTGTCCAATTTATTAACCTTGACTTGTTGAGCATAAGAAAGGTCCACTTTGCAAAATTATGCCCCTAATTAACGAATGAAAGCTCATAATCTAGTGTTGCGTATGAAAGTTTGAAATAATTCAAATTCGTGTATTATAAGACACATTTTTTACGATAAGATTTTCAGTATAGTTTTTTTCATTTTCAAAAGTTTGAGGTACCAATAATGCTACTATTATATTCTTACAACAATAACATATTCGATGTAATTTCATAAGTGAGGCCTAAGCAAAATACATAACCTTTTTTCCTATCTTATAAAGGTAAAATGTTGTTTTTCGATAGATCCTCAACTCAAGTATAACATAATAAAATTATATATATATATATATATATATATAGATGAATTTCATTTTTGGAGACAAAAAACATCATGTTATCTTAAAAGCACAACTACTAACCATATGACAATTGGAGAAATTTTAGGCAAATTCCCACCAAACAACTTATATCTACACATGGGGCATGTTGTTGCATTTTCAAGTAGAATTCAATTTAATTTCTAGAAGTGAGAATGAAAAAATTTCTACATTATCAAGTCATTTAAAAAGATAATTATTGATATTCGTTCATAAAATAACTTGACATTAATAAATTAAGTTTTCTAGTATAACAAGTTGAAATACATTAATAAAAAGATTTTACGATCGATTTTTGTGGTCCAATGACATGACAACATTATGTTTGTAGAAATTCCAATAAAGTTTGGTATTTAATCCATCACTAATTGCTAAGAATTTTCCACACTGTGACTTTTTGGATGTGTTAGGCATCATCGCATTGGCTAATTTATTAATAGTTTACTAAATTTGTAAATGCAACGTATTACAAATGCAGAAAGTGGTTAGATTTGCAAAATGATCTATGAATGAAAAGTAAAAGCAAAACATGCCACATGTCACTGCCCTATTGGATCATCAGAAAGTTTTAGTAGCTCAGTTGATTGACGGAAGGTTCGATTCCCCAGAAACTTAACAACCACTTCTTTTGTCTATTCAATAACGTTTAAGTTGAAATTGACCATATGAATCTTCATTGTCTATATCGTTGTATTTAAACTAATCTCAATCCAATATTATACAAAACAAAATGAAGAATAAAAGTTAAAAAAAAACCACTACAATTTTTCTATATTTCATATTGAGTAGCCAAAACCATCACCTTTTGTACAAAACTCTTCAGGTTTTGGCTATATCTAAATCATTTTATTACACTCTGCCTATCTTTTAACTTATGTTGCTCGGATACTACAAAAATGTTGTCGTACCAGGTCAGATCCTTTCCGACACACACCACCTGTCGACATTATTGAAGAATCCGGGGAACAAGAAGTGTGTTTACTTACTATATCAGGTTGAATGCTGGCAGATCTTCTATTCTTTGTATATCATCTAATGATAGTTCCCTCTCTAACTGCATCCTCGTCGCTTGCAAAACGTTCTGATGGAATGAGACACAAAAACAGTTTAGTAGAAAACATAGAATAGAGTGTAAGCTACCAATTCATCTAGATAACAACAGATCAAACTGCTCGTTTCGTTTTCATATGCCTTGTTTCATCGGAGCCTTTTTCTTTTGCTTGTGTTCGATTAGAAAATAATCAGCATTAACATTTTCTAAAATCACACACGTTGATCTTAATCCATAAGCTCGTGACATGCTCCTCATATGGTCAACATAGCCTATGTGTTACTTACTGAGAGAGATGTGCGCGCACACATACATACAGAGATAGATAGACAGAGAGAGAGAGAGAGAGAGAGTGTGTGTACATTAAACTCCATGTATGAAGCACGCATAGCCAGCCACTGCGCATCCATCATCGCAAATGCTATACAGTATAGAACATCAAACGCCTCGTCATCTTCTGCAGGTTTTTTTTTTTCAGAAAGCAAAGTTCATCTAAATAGAACAGTGATTCACAACTACTTCAATTAATTTTCTGGCTTACCTCCTATCAACTTAACAAAATTTAATCCTGGAAGACACTTTGGTTTTTCTGCAAGAGAAAAAGAAGTATTAATGTCTGTTCATATATGCTAAAATGCCGACGGTTTTTAAATTCCAAGCATAATCATAATGATCACCAGCTGAAACTAGTTTACATACTAGTAGAGAAAACGAAAACTCAAAGAAAAACCAGCCATAAATCAGTGCAGAAAAAAAGAAGATAAGATGATATATATTGATATCTGAAAGCAGAAGAGATGGTCTATGTTGCTTGTACTCTCCAAAAATGTTGTTGGGTGTGAGTCGAATCCTTCAAAAGTAATGCATTTTCGCAGGATCCGATACGAGTGCAACAACATTTTGGAGAGTACAAGAAACATAGGAGATGATATTTAGTAAGTACGAATTACTCCCTCCATTTAAATTTGTTTGTCTTACCCTCCTTTTAGTCCGTTAGGGACATTTTGATACATTCTACATATCTTTACTTTCTTAAACATCGTGTCAAGTCAAGACCAGACAAACAAATTGAAATGGCGAGAGTACTTAAAACTTAAGAGAATCTTCAGTAGAATTGTCAATGTTTAGCGTTTCTGATTTTTGAAAATCATTCCAATGAGCAGTTACACAAATTTGCAGCAAACTATTCACCTGAGAATAAGTCGAGCATCTGAATCAACATGAATGTAACATTAATCCCAGCAACTGCAAATGGATACTCCCACGTTGCTCTCAATCCACTTTGCTTGAAAAGCAACCTATGAAAACAAGCCTTGATTTTGAATATCCACAATTAGTTATGTTATTATGTGACAATCATACTACGAACACCTAAAGAGAACACCAATTTTACGGAGCAGCTTAAGCTCTTTGCAGAACAGCTGAACAATCATACCGGATATCTTGTTGCAAAATACAGCAAATTCTCGAGCGAAATAAATCCACAACCCCTGCAACAAGAAGATTTTACAAATGAGATAAATATCTCACTATCTCAGTGTTACTTTACATTGGTTAAAAGTGAACAAGACGATGAATCACTTTTCTCTAATCCTTAGTTATCTACTCATTGTTATAGAAATGCAATTAGACAAGCGTTGCAAATGAATAGTTGGATACCTTCTTCCCTAGAGATGAAAAAGAAACACTACTCATGTTAATTAATACAGTTGAAAAACATAAACGATCTCCTCCTTCCAAGAGGTCTTTACACATTTCTTGCTACGAAAAGCGACCAAAGTATCTACATGTCTTGACAAAACATTTAACATCTTAAAGGGTGAACTTGACCTGAAGTCAGTTGATGGGTTTGCTCCTTGCCAGCCCATATCTTTCCATTGCTCGGAGATCAAACTTTTAAGCTTAACATTTGGAAATGCTGCATTCCATAAATCTCGAAGAGCTTCCTGAAAATTGGAGTTAGTTATGTTCTAAAATACAGGTTGTAGCCAGAAAAACATAAATGAGATTATAATTCGAAAGAGATGCAGGTACAGATAGAAACAAAATCAGAAGAAAAATGCTGAGGTACAATCTTTTTCAACTTTTATAAACTAAGTTACTACTCTGATATGATCATAAATACTGATATATCGTTAAGATAAAATGTAATAACATAGAGACGTCGGTGCTTTCCATGAAATTAGAGAGACAGAATGTTTACGTGATTTCTTACAAAATTTCAGCATATTGAATTAATGAGAGTGACTATGGACCATGCAAATTTTAGATTTGTTTCGAGAACTAGTGCATAGCTTGTTTCGGTCTGCAATATCACTAGTTATCTGAAAACATTTGTCCAGCATAATACTTGTAACCGATAGTAGAACACCAATCAGACAGGATTAGAACTTCATAATTCCTATAAAGTTTCAATATCTTGTTGTATGATCCTATGACTGGACAAAACGGTTATGGGAATTTTACTAGTATAACATAATTCTTAATCATTCTGAAAAATACGTCTATCTAGTATAAACGATTTTCATATGAAGTGTACACAACTACATATCTTTTTAAAACAATATGATAGATAACTTGGATCAATAAATATAGTATTCCAAGCCCCTTATGAAAAAATGCCTCTACGTGACAGTAGCAATTGCAATTTCACTATCTTTAAAATATTGTTTTATGGTAACTAAACCAAAATTAGCACGATATAAAAATAGAACAAGCATTTTGGAAATACTTGATGATCTAGGCGTGCTTCATCAAAAGGTACTCCTAGCCGTTCTTGAAGCCCGTGTAAGCTTTGTTCCTGGAAGAAATTAAATATACATGCAAAAATTCACAATGTTAAGAAGGTATAAATTACAATGGTAAGTAAAATAAAATATCCAAAACAGTCTCAACAAATTTCTACCAACAGAAAGAACCACTTAACAAAGGAACTGATTCAACCAGATAGGACACGAAACAGAGGTAAGATAACCTCAAATGCCAATATGGTTCTTTGGTTTACCTGATGAGGAGTTAAAGGGTAGTTAAGATATTTATCGCTTCCAAGTCGTTTATTGCTCGAGCGGTTGAAGATTCCTCCTATCCATGCTCGTGGTCCAACCATAGCATTAGCTACAGCCATCAAAGTCTGATAAGTGAAATGAACAAATAACAATGGAAATGTACACATATCGCTTTATATATTAAGTAAAAGGAACAACAGCCCTAACAAAAAAGAATCTAAGAGGTGCTTCTTGAAGTTTATATTAAAGTGCTTCTTTTCACTATGCTTCACGTTGTAGTTTACTCCATGGACTAGTCTATCATATACCATGCTCATTGGCTTATCCTAATTAGGCTGTATACTTGCCCCGTTGTGCTTATCCAGCCTCTACAACTAAATTATGAAGACTTCTTTCTGGATAGTGATACTGGTGATGGAAGATGCTCAGCCTCACATATATATAGCGAAAAAGAGACTTGACGTCCAGAGTGTTTTGTTGTAAAAAAATTACGGCACATGGCTTTTCAAAAATAAACAATTTGTATTTGGACCATCCCGAAAATTGCAGTGTATAAGAAGCACAGACATTATAAAATCACATATTTGTTGTACTATGAATTTCACAAAAATAGAAAGATTGAAATATTAAAATACACTCCAGTTGCACTACCTAGGAGAAACTTTTCCGAACAGTAGGCAAAGATAATACAGATGCAGACACCATCAATGAAATCATTTAGGTGGTAACTTAGAAAAATAATATGCACTCACTAAAGCACTGAGCAAACTGTGAAATTACGTGTGGAGGATTATGTGACCATGCTGGCTCCTCATCTAGCTTCTTTCTGTGCCAATTACTTTCATCTTCATCAGCCTGAATTCATACGTTCTGTGAGGTAAAATTAGAATAGAAGTGCATTCTGCTTTACTATAAATTGCTAATGGAAGTAAATGACACAACTAAATGAAAACATGACAGAATTCAACCATCTACTTTGGCTATCAAACTCTGATTTCAGCAGAAAGTTGCAAGTTAATGCTCTTAAAGTCAACCTGTACAATTTGGGATGACAATTCAATCATCTAACCTAAGATCTATATCTTATACAATCTAATAGAATGATAAGTTGTTCTACAGTCAAAGTAGAACAAAAGTTTTAAGCACAGGACTTCAAGATCAAATCTTGCCTGATGAAATCTATACTTCAATTCCACATGGCCAAAGGATTCAAGAATGGCAGTGTGAACTGATGAAACCTATAATTCAGTCCTATCAACTATGCCTCACATTCATTAAAGGAAACTACTACACTTCAATCCCAAACTAGTTGGGGTGCGCTAATACAAATCATCAAAATCCATTTCATTCAATTTGACCCGTTTCACTCCACTATGTTTGCACTTAACCAAGCTATAAACAACCAAACTTTCAGAAAACTGAAATGATGCCAAGAAAAAGAACAAGAAGAAAGAGGAAGCATTGTAGATATCAAGATCAAATCTTTCCTAAGATAACCAAAACAACTAACACACTGCCAACGGAATTCAAGAATGGCAGTGTGAACTGATAAAGCCTATCATTCAGTCTCATCAACCTGTTTTGTTCAACTACACTTGCATTCATTAATGAAAACCACTACATCTCAATCCCAAATTAGTCGGGTATACAAATACAAATCATCAACATCCCTTTTTGCTCAATTTGGCCAGTTCTGTTCAACTATACTTGCATAAATAAAGCCAAGCTACTAAATAGCCAAACGTTCAACCAAATACAAGGATTCTAAGAACATGAACTAGAAGAATGAGGATAAAAGAAGCTTACTTTGTAGTAGGAGGCACAAGAAAGAATGCATTGGCTACGCCTTAATCTCATTAGAAAGAAAAATTGTTGGGAGATCAAAAATTTTCCCAAAGTTTCAAACAGAAACAAAAAAAGGTTAAAGAAGAATGATAATAAACAGTTGTTCAAATAATTACACTAACCCATGCTTCCTTCTTATATTTTCAAACTATCATCATTTCAATTCTCACTCTTTACTTCCAACCACCAAAATTATGTAACCCCAAAAAGGGGAAATAAAGGAGAAATGTGGGATAATTACAAACAAATTAGAGATTAACACCACAATCAAAGGGAACTTTTGTTTAAGTGCCTTCATTACAGGTGCACAATTATGGAAAAAGTTGTTCTCAAAGGTAATCTAGATACTTCCTCTCTTTTTTTTACATCCAACAAATAACATCATTACATACGACAAAAAGAATATAAAGTTTGCAAATTGCATGCACATACACAACAAGAAAAAGTGGGCACCACCTTTAATTAGCATATAATAAGAGAAGTTTCTGTTCTTGTTTCAACAGTTCTGGGTAATGATGACACCCAAAAAAAAAGACAAAGTTCGCAAATTTACAGCATACATATAAAAAAAATGTACCACCCTTTATATATTAAGAGAAATATCAAATATCTGTTCTTGATTCAAACCCAAAAAAAGAGACAAAGTTTGCACATTTACAGCATACATTTGTGTAATTAGAGAAATTTGTGTTCTTGATTCAACTGTCCTGTGTAAGGGTGAAAACCCAAAAAAGACATAAAGTTTGCATCTTTACAGCATCCATGCAAAATAAAAGGTATCACCCTTTATATAATAAAAGAAATTTTTGTTCTTGAATCAATGGGAAATAATGAAAACCCCAAAAAGACATAAAGTTTGCACCTTTGGAGCTCACATAAAAAAAAAGGGGGCATGTACCTTTTATGGCATAGATAAAGGTAAATCCATGTTCTTGATTCAACTGTTGATGGCAGACAGCAGAAGTGATGGAGAAGAAGGGGGACATCAAAGGAGAAATCAAGAAACACATTTTTGGCTTCCATAGCCAGACATGTTGCTAAAACATCGCCTAATTTATAGCTATTTTTGCAGATTAATTTACAATTTGCAGATGCTAAAGACACTTTTGCTAATCAAAGACTTGCCTTTAAAAAAAATGAAAAAAAATAATATAAATCATTCTTTTAAAAATCATTTAAATTAATTGAATGAGTTTATAGGTATCAATAGTTGTGACTTGTGTCTTGATTTTCTAAAATTAAGTGTTTTTTTTTATGTTATTCTTAATTGAGTGATTACGTGATTATCTCGCGTTATAAGGTAATTTTTAATGTATGTACAAGTATGATTAAAGTTACCAATTGCTCTTCAAAAAAAATTTCATTGTATTTGTAGAATGTATTTTGGTAAGTATATATATTATTTTAGAAACTATGCAATGTATGTGATTTTTAATATACTAAATCAACCATTGTACTAATACACTATATTCAAAATTATTTATTTTACACCCATCAAATGATCCCTTAGTACTTTTAGTTTAGAACTTATATTTATATTTAAAATTTTATTTAAATATATAAATAATTAATCAAAAATGACTTAAAATATCTTCGAACTATTGAAAATAATACAAAATTATCATTTATCCACCAATGAAAATTCTTGATGCTTATGAAGATGGACTCTAGAGAAAAAAAAAAAGAAGAAACAAAAGTGAGTCATCATTGAACAAAAAACAGATCATCCAATGGTGATGTAATTGGTTCTTCCAATACTTATGGGGCGGGTCTAATTAGAAATGAATGGATTTCTTAATTGATTTTATTTATTTAAAATGTGACTAATAGAGAATTGTCACGTATTTAAAGATTATTTAATTGAATGGTTGTTAAAAAATGGTCAATGTTGAACCCAAAGTTGGATGTGAAGAGTATTTGAGAGCTAATAGGTAGATGAAAGGTAATTTTATACAATTTTCAGTAGTTCAAGAATATTTTAGATCATTTTTTGATAATTAATTAAACACCTAAATAAATTATTTTAAAAAATCAACACATTTTATATTTAAGAATGTGATTTGTTAAGACCAGACTTCTCATAATCATAGCTAAAGTTTGATTACAAACTGCAAATATTTCTTCCTTTCTAAAATAAGTGTTGTTTTAACTGAAAAAAATTGCCCAAATTAATTATCGGAACAGAAATTCAACACGAAATATTAGGTAACTCTTCTTTCGTCCCAATTTATAGGGCATAGTTGAGATTTTGAAAGTCAATCAAATTTTTTTCATTGAAATTTCTTTATATATTTTAAAATTTTAATTTATTAATTATTACGATTTATAATACTTGTTATATAATTTTCAAACGTATAAATTTTATTTTTAAAAAATTGAAGTTTTGATGTCCAAATTTATGGTAAAAATATAAAAATTTGACTATCAAAATTCTAATTACGCTACATACATGGGAACATAAAAAATATTTCCAATTATATTTTTACTAGACATCAGAGCCCGTACTAGCATGGGCCCAATATGTATCATTTTTTGTTTCAATTTATGTGACAAAGACAAAATTAAAGAGTTAATCAAACTTTAATATTAATTTAAAATAGTTTAAATTTTTAATTATTGTTAACTATGGTAAAAAAAAAAATTATGTCTTTTGACATTCTAAATTGCTAATTATTGTTGTATGATTTGTAATATCTTTTACGCAATTTTGAAATAATAAAGGTTATTTCTTCTTTCTCAATTTATGTGGTACTAATAAAATTTCGAGATTCAATCAATTTTTTTGTCTTTAAAATATTCTATTGTTAATTATTGTAAATTATTGTACTTTCTAAGTAATTTTCAAATAATATATATTATTTCATTTGTCCAATTTATGTGTCACCGATAAAATTTGAAGAGTTAATCAGATCTTTTACATATTTTTATATCTTTTGAATATTTAAGTAAATAATTATTGTGATTTATAATATTTTATACAATTATTTTAAAAAAATTAAACAACAAACAAAACGAATTCATCATAGGAAAATTACCAAAGCATCCTTGAATACATCAATAATGGGTCTCACTTTTTGTTTTAAAAAATATGCATATTGGGAGGATATTTTTGTCCAAAGTGGAAATAGAATAGGTATAAAACATTAAAGTCTTTTAAAATTTTAAATTGTTAATTCTTATTGTATGATTTGTAATATTTTTACACCATTTTCAAATAATAGAGGTCATTTCTTCTTTCTCAATTTATGTAGTACTAAATTTTTTTTGAGATTCAATCAAATTTTTTTGTCTTTGAAATATTTCTAGATGTTGATTACTGTAATTTATAGTACTTTCTAAGAAATTTTCAAATATATATTATATCATTTGTCCTAATTTATATGTCACCGGTAAAATTTGAAGAGTCAATCAGATCTTTTATATATTTTTATATCTTTTAAATATATAAGTAATTAATTAGCGTGATTCATAATATTTTATACAATTATTTAGTATAGTAAAATAAAGTTAAAAGAAACAAACAAAACGAATTCATCATAGGAAATTACCAAAGCATCCTTCAATACATCAATAATGGGTCCGACTTTTTGTTTTTAAGAAATTGCACATTCGAAGGATATTAATGGGTCCGACTTCAAGTATCAATTAATGTTTTTTCTCAAAATCTAATTTACTTTCGTAAATAAAATTTTTTTCTCAAAATCTAATTTACTTTCGTAAATAATGTTTTTTCTCAAAATCTAATTTACTTTCGTAAACTATGTGTCGGATCAAATCAGATTAACAAATTCAAAAGGAATGAATAATAAATAGTTCATACAATGACATATTTATTATTTAACTAAATAATAAATATGTAACTAAAAATCTTGTTAGCTTTTGGTTGAAAGCTAACAAGATAGTTACAACATAACTAAATAGTTTATATATATTTGCATTGTGGCTTATTATATATTACTAGATAAGTATTGCCCGTGCTAAGCACGGGCCCAACGTGTAGTCTTATTTGTGATATAAAATTGATTAATATAAATGAGACAATCACATATAAACACCATTATATATAAAGTAAATAAAAATACTATTATCTTGAACAAAATATAGTAGTCAAACGTGTTATCTATATATTTTGTGAATGCCTTTCTATTGAATGTTTGTTTTCAAAGTGAAATATTTATGTAGTTGAACATTATACATATGGGAGTACTAATTACATTTGTATATAACTATTTATAAATCAATTACTAATAGATATACATCAAAATTGATCAAGTACAACCTCAAATTATTCGAGGTCAATTTTGTCTCATTCATACTAAAGGTTTTTAAATAATTATTTTTTAGAAGCAACTTTCGTAATTTAGCGCGGAGTTCTGTTGATTTATTTATTGTGATATAGCTACAAATACTACTATTACTACTACAATTCAAATATTAACTCTGTTAGTGGCTTTAAAATTATGTAAAACAAAATATACTGGCATTATGGAACAAAAGATTGTGTCATATTTGTGGAAGTATGAGTCTTCACATCAAAGGGTCCTAAGGCCTGCAATCTGCACAGTTATATCTGTTAGTGACTTTAAAATCACGTAAAACAGAATACACTGGCATTATTTCGTTGCAATTCAAATGACCCTACGACATAATTTGTTACTACGTAGTTGAATGTAGTTAGTTGATATACTTCCTATGATATATCAAAGAGATGAGGCCATGTTGGTTGAGGAACAAATTCAAGTAGCAAGTTTATAGAGAGCGCATCCATACATTAACCCTCATTATCAACTCAACTAATTTAAATAATAAAATCAAATTCGGAGAAGCAAAATAAGTAGCTTCTAGTTGTAGAGCATCAAAGAGAGACTACAGTTATTTCCGTATTATCAAGAATCCCTGCTGCATCAGTTGCTGATTTGATGAATTTTTTCTAATATCATTTGAAAAATGTAGATTGGAGTCTCTAAAATGTATCAAAAGTTTTAATAATTGTTGCCCCTTAAACATAATAATGACAAATTTCAACTAAGTTCTTGACTAAGATTCTGTCTTCTTCATAGTCAAGAGTGCATTAAAACTGTCCTTCCAAATAGATCGTTGTGGCATGAACCAAGTGAAGTTAAGCGGAGTCTGCTAGGATAGAAGATTACATTTAAGAAATTATACAAGCAGTAAACTAACAATGAACGTAAAAAAAATGCCAACATGACCAGAATAGACACATTATTGATAACTGGGCATTATTCTATATAGCCCATAGTAATTATCCTAAAAGAAAAAACATCAATAAGCAGTGGATCAAATGAATATTAAAATCTAAAATTAGGTAACAACGAAAACTTACTGATAAGAGCAAAGGAGTTCAGAAGAGATCAATTATTATTATTTTTTGCACGAAAAGTAGAAATAGGGAACAACAGAGAAAATGAGTTAAATCTGAAGTGTCGTCATGGAGAAACTACTCGGGCAAGAAAGATGTTGAAGAGAAAGGAACACGATAGACCATAGTTGCCTAGATGTTTCTATATGTTTAAAGGTGGATAAAATATCTTAATTGTCAGAGTATATTAGCTGTAAAATTACGATGCTAAAAATAGCATGTAACATACAATAACCAATAGATTACACTACTTATCTTGTGCAGTGAATTGATGTTGGAAGGGCTGCAATATTGAATCGTCCTTCTGAGTCCAAATGGTGGAGTTGGAGGCATTGCAGCCTTGCGTAACCACGTATCAATTAAATTTCATATTTTTGTTGCCGCTGACAGCAATGGCATTGAAAGAGGTCGTTCCTAAGTGTTCTTGAAAGTTGAAGGAGAAGAACTGAAAAAATATTTTTTCTCAAAATGTCAGGTCTAGCTCCATAAGAGCAATCATTACTGCAACTTACAGTTCTATTTCATAAAACGTTATTGTGAACATCTCTTAACTGGAGAAATCATTTGAAGTCTCGTTTCTTTATCCAGCAAAAAGTGAGATTCGCTTAATACAAATAACAATGCACAAATAGAACTACCTTTATAATTAAACATGGTAAGCAAAATCAAATATGACGAAGTAGAAAATAAGACATGATATGGTACACCACCAACCCACAGGAACTTTTAATATAAAAAGAGACCCTACTCTCCAAAGAAAGGATCAACATCTATGCCCATGCCACAATTTCTTATCGAACAAATGCTCAACCAACTTTATACTTCATTTCGAAACAAAATAAAGAGAGAGCATCCCCTTCAATTTAAATTTTTTTCTTAAAAAAATAAAAACGTTAGCTTCCCCTTCATTTTTTTTTCTCATCTACCAATTCATTTTCTGCTTTTACTTCCTCAAAGGATTAAGACAGAAATATTACAAGAAGAAAATTATCTAGAGTCCATTCTCCAGGAGATCACAAAATCCTACCAAAAACATAGTTTAGGATTACAAACCAATTGATGCAGAGCCTGAGAAAGTACTTACCTGAAATGAAGTCAAACAATGAACAACTCTAATTGCTCGAGATACAAGCATAAATGAAAACTGTTACAAGGTAATAGAGTTCCCAAGTGACCACCAAACAAATATGTGAAAGTAACGATGAATAAATGAAAAAATGAATAGCAAGTGTGAAGAGAGGAAAAGAAAACGAAGCCATTAGATTTAGTATTTACCTTGCCTCCTCCAAAGAATATATATGTAGCTCATACATAACCCCAAGAAGTTTTATGTCTAAAAGTCCAAATTTCTAAATATATGTTTAATAGAATCCCTTGGAGACTAACTCATCCAGTCAAAATTCAATTCCACTCCTCATTTGGACGGATTTTATTAAATTCTACATTCCCAGTTTGAAACAAATGAAGTAAGCACATTCACCATTCAAGCAGAGAAACTCGGTAGCAGACTTTCAACTTACTTGTTGCTGGTGAGTTCCATATACTGGATAAGCCCCATAGGCGGAAGTATACATCCCTGAATCGTATGGTGGTGGGAATGCATAGAAATGCCCTACATAGTATGGCCTAGTCCACTGTTCCCAAAATTAGATCGCGACTGCATAGATAGAGACACAATGAAGAATTTGTCATATAATAGCTTAGTTGGTGCCAGGCGCAAGTTATCTGAGAGTATAACAGTTTAGTTGGTGTCAGATGCATTTTATCTGAGGTCATTTATCAATACCGTCCCAACCACCAATAGTTATTTCACAACCAATGGTTCTCCATATAAATTGCTTATATATACGAAGGTCATTTATCAATACCGTCCCAACCACCAATAGTTATTTCACAACCAATGGTTCTCCATATAAATTGCTTATATATACGAATGTTATTTCACTGTGTCAATTGATGAAGGCTCTTTTTCTTTTATTATTAATAGATACTCCCACTTCTTCTACCAATAAGCATAACTTAGAGTTTCTTTAATCAAGCAAATGTTGGATACAAGAAAACCTATTGAGACATGTCAAATTGTCGATCAGGTTGCCCTCCCAGCAAGCTTGATATCGCGGCACAACACAGGGTCCTCCTTACAACTCTTTTAGACACAAATGGCTAGCCAGTGGTCATAACTGTTGAAGTTGCACCATCATGACAAAATTGTCCATGAAATTTAGAAGCAGCCTCCATGTTAGGCAGAATTCATGAAAGACAGTTAAATAGTTGTTGCCCTTCAAGGCATATCAAGACTTCAAAGCTTTGAAACAATAGAAATTATCTCACCTACAAAGCACAACAACATTTTTCAGCATCAAGCGGCGCACATGGATCATTAACATCATAATGCCATACTCCGAGTTTCACAGTACAAGGCAATTTGACAGTCGGAGCTGCAATCAGAGAAGTAGTTATCTCTGACTGGAACCGACTCATAAAAGGTTGAGAATCGCTCTCACCATTTACAATGTTAATGGGAACAACACTATCACCAAATCTAGCAATAAGTATTGCTCTAGAGCATGAAGAATGGTGCCGAGAATCATATCTTTCAGACCTTGGATGATTCCTGTTTGAAATGACTGATGGAACTGTAGGAGGATGTTCTACTTCACCATAAGCTGAATAATTAATGCAGAAATTTTTTTTTATCATCATAGAACATGCTACAATGTGCAGATCAAAGACATCTTTAGTTTATCTCTCCAAAATTCTACATACCCCAATTAAGACTTCTAACTTTCATATATTTAATTTTTCCAATCAATCTGATTTCTAACAACCTATCTATGAACCATCATTTTAGTAGAAATATTCCTATATGTGATAATAATTAAATTTGAAGAGAACTTAAAAAACAAAAAAAGAACAACAAAGGGAAAAGAAACAGAAAATTTAGGTAAAAACTAAAGAGAAACATACCTGCATTTGTAAATTAATCGAAATGATGAAGAGAAGCAAGACAAAGCCGCTTGGAGTGGAAAAGTGATGGGAGTGTAATTGATCATCAACCATGAAATTGGGGAGTGGGGAGACAGTACAATAACAATATCATCTATCAAGTTCAGTTGTAAAATAGAACTGAAAAGGAATCTAAGCAAAAAAAAAAACCCTCAAATTGGAACACCCAACAGTGAAAAGGAAGAGATATGAAAGAACAGTCTTTGAAAGCCTTGAGATTGAGAACAGAAAATGCTTAGAGCAAAGATTGAGATAACTGACCTGTAATCCAACATCATATGAGAGGAGTCTTTTTGAGTCGATGATTTTCTCTGGAACTCTCTACCATGGAAAGGCGCCATGGAATATAAAGAGTCCCTGCTTTCTAGAAATTTCATTACTCAGGTCGGTTTAACTATCTTGATAACTTAATTACTATTTTGCCCTTCCTTGAAGTCAGATTTTCTAATATGCCCTTGGTCGTCTTGGTCGGCTTCGCTTTTCTATATAGTAGAAAATATATATAGATATTAAAAATAACCATATTTAATAAATAGGAATATGGAGTACTATAATAGTCAATAAAAGTAATCTAGGAAGCTACATAGTTTATTTGTCAAATAATGTAAGCTACTAAGTTTAGACTCCCTCACTGCAAAGAGACAAGCAATCATGTGAAAAATATGGTGTGCACTGTGCAGGATGATTTTGAACACCTCAAAATGAATTAAATTAATAAATTTAATTCATCTAAATATTGTTTGAATTGAAATAATAATACACATATCTTGTTTTTTTAATCATTAAAAAATGTGGTAAGATGAATAAGATATATCTCATTATTCTTAATCTGAGATTTAAGATTCCGTCCTTGGAATGAAAAAAAAATTAATAGCTAGGAGCACTTTCCCATTTAAATAGTCTTATGTGGTGCGAATCTAAATTAGTTAAGCTCACAATTTTCAAATATTATATAGTATTTTTATTTTCTTACTTATTACGTTTCATTTACGAGAGTCAATTGACTAATCTCTGAAGTTAAATTGAATAAGATTGATTTAATAATTTAAATATAGATATTAAAAAATATATACAAAAATACTATAAGTTAAAATCATTTTCATATTAATATTAAAAAACATATCTTAAAATGTTAAAAAAATTACCTATAAAAAACGAAACATGACAAATATAAATGATAAAAATAAGTTATAGCAAATAAATTCCACTTTATTTAATGTAATGTGTCCCCACAACACACATTTGACTTATCAATTTGATTCTCTTTATATATGCAAAATCCCATCACACCTTCCAATCACACAAAAAATGGAGAAAATTCATCACAATTATGTGAATGTAAGAGGACTCAAGCTTCACTTTGCAGAAATTGGAACAGGTCCTAATTAATATTCCATAATTTTATTTTATTTTATTTTATTTTTATCAAAAATTGGTTCTGAAATTAAAATATTTTACATTTATATAGGTCCTGTAGTAGTATTTCTACATGGATTCCCTGAGATATGGTACTCATGGAGGCATCAAATGATAGCAGTGGCAGATGCAGGATTTCGAGCCATAGCTCCTGATTTTAGAGGCTATGGTTTGTCAGAGTTGCCTACATATCCCGAGTTAACGACATTCAAGGACCTTGTTGATGATTTACTTGATATGATTGATTCATTAGACATCCATAAGGTGAAATTACATGATTTTCACTAAGATCGTTTATCGATCTCCTGACTCTTCCTTTTAACTCCTTGTTTCGTAAATCGATCACTTATATTGTTCTACTATATATATTTTTATGTAGGTATTTCTTGTGGGGAAGGATTTTGGAGCTAGAGTAGTTTTCCATTTTGCACTCCTACACCCTAATAGAGTTTTAGCACTTGCAACACTTGGTGTCCCATTCCTTCTCACTGGTCCAGGAACATTTCCTCAAGATCTCCTTCCAAAAGGTTTCTATGTGTTGAGATGGCAGGTAAGAATGTGTGTGTTTGATACGATGAAAGTCATTTTTAGGAAATTATTTTGTGTTCATAGATGGTAGGTGTTAGTAGTTTTGGGTAGTGGTGGAAGAAGAAAGGTTGAGGTTGATGTGGTGAGTTGACATGTCATATATGGACCAATAGTATAACACTAATGAATATAAATTAGGGGGTTGGGGGGGGGGAGGGGAATAGACCAGACGTAACACCGTTAATTTTAGTATTCCATCTGTCTCAATTTATATGACATATTTTAAAATTTGAGATTCAAACAAATTTATTTTTATTGTGACTTTAGTTTACCAATATATAAATTTCATTTCAAAAAAATTGAAGATTTCATGCGCAAATTCTCGGGTCAAACTTAAACTGGTTAACTCTCGAAAAATGAAATGTGTCACATAAATTGGGACGGAGGGAATAGTATTTATATAGTATCTTATTCTTCAATTTTTACTATTGCATGTTGCCTCTTTGCATTGTTCATCTTGCTATTTTGTTATCGTTTTTTTTATTCTTTTAATCCTGCTTTGATTTGGACTTCTTTTGAGTTGAGGCAAAGGATGGTTGCTTCCAAGCTCACCTTTCGGTTGTCATCATTCGATCACTTGCTTTTTTACTAAGTGATTTGCTATGCTTAGGGAACTTTGGATTTTAGCACCCAAAAAATCTATTTGTGCAAACAATGTAGACCTGTATTCGGAACTTCCTCTGCCAAAAACCTCTATACTCCACAACTGAGGGATAAGATTTGTGTACATCTTACCCTCCTTAAATTCCACTAGTGGGATTAAACCGCGTATGCTGTTGTATGGACTGATATAACATTAAACTATTTCAGTAGTAGAGGAGCAAATACTGAATCGAAAATCGAATCGAACCACAAATTGAGTCAAATCGAACAAAAAACACGACTAGTGGTTTGGTTTGACTTGATTTGGTATTGCAAAAAAAAAACCCCGACTATATTTGGATTGGTTTGGTTTTAACTAAAAAAAAACAACCCGAGACCAAACCAACCCGACATTATATATGTAATTTTAAAATTTTATTTTATACATAAAAATATTTACATTGATATAATTTTGAAAATATTTCTTATACTATTTCATAGTTTTTAACTTTTAATATATTATTTCAAGTTTAAAACTTAGAATTCGAAATGGTCCAATAAAGATTATAGTTCATAGATGTTGATAATTATAATAATAAAACTTAAATCAAAATCAAATTAATATTAATGCAAAAAGAAAATCAATTCAACACTAAAAATGACAATAATATTGAATATTTGTTCTTTAGTTTTACATTGGTTTAGACAATTAAAATACATAATCTAATTTTAATTTTCCTTAAATATTTAGTAATGTAACTAATACTTATTAAACTCATTTTAGCATGATTTAATACTTTTAAATTATAATCATTTTCATTATGACTTTGCAATATTTATTTATATGATGATTTCATTATTATTTTTTATTGAATATTTTAGTGTCATCACTCATCTCATATTTTGTGTTATTTTCTTAAGAAACACCTTAGATAGTTATATTTTGGTTGGACTAAAGAAATATTTGGAACACAAGTTAATTATATGTTTGTAAACTTTACCGAAAAAATCCAAATTTTATTAGTTTGGTTTGGTTTATAAATTTAAAATTTTTTATACAAATGATTTGATTTGATATTCGAAAAACCCGAACCAACCCGGTCATGTACACCCCTACTTCATATTACTAGCTTTGTCTAACACTTGCACATTTTATTAGTCGTTATGCTAAAGTCCAAAATCCATAAAGTTGAAATCTGGCTTCACCTCGCCTATGTTTCGCAGGAACCAGGGCGAGCTGAAGCGGACTTTGGGCGTTTTGATACAAAAACAGTAGTTAAAAACATTTATATATTATTCTCTGGAAGTGAATTGCCAGTAGCAAAGGATGATGAAGAAATTATGGACTTGGTTGATCCTTCTACACCATTACCTGCCTGGTTTACTGAAGAAGATCTTGCAAACTATGCATCTCTTTATGAAAACTCAGGCTTCCAGACTGCACTGCAGGTGCCTTACAGGTCAGTCACTTCTATTCAACTCTAGTTGTGGTCATATTTAGAGCGTCAGATTAGGATAGAAGATTAGTAGGTAGTTTGATGGTTTCTCACTTTTCGATAGGATTAGGCTTCGTGGTAGTCTAGAGCACCGTGTCTGTCGTAGTATAAAAAAAATATTAAGGTGGTTTTTTTTTTTTTTGGCAGGGCTTGGCTAGAAGAATATGGAGTTGAAGATATCAAAATCAAAGTTCCATCTTTGCTTGTGATGGGGGAGAAGGATTATGCCCTTAAGTTTGGTGGATTTGAGCACTTTATTTCAAGTGGAATGGTGAAAGAGTATGTACCTAATCTTGAAATCACATTCTTACCAGAAGGAAGCCATTTTGTCCAAGAGCAGTTTCCTCAACAGGTCAATCAGTTGATCATCAACTTCCTCAACAAGCTCGTTTGACGAAAATGAGTCGAAGCAATGCTTTTCCCTCTTTGAATTTGAATGCTGATCACATTTTCGACATATCTCTACTTGTATGTTGATCAATAAGCGAGGCAACGGTTTTGGATGCCTCGGTTCTACATTATGTTTCCACAGACTTTACAGCAACATTTCCTGTTATACTTCATTGAATCATTTTGAATCTGGTCTAACATGCAAATGGGATAAAAGCAAACGAAATAGAAGAGATGTAGGTGCATATCACAGAAGAGAGTTTGCTATACACGTAAGAGAAGTGCTACTATGCCCTGCTCTCTGAGTGGGATGAAGTTTTCACTCATAGGCTGGAAATCGGGCGTTTTTTGGATCTGTCATGTCTAGGAAAAGATAAGCCATACCCGCAATACCTTCAAAAAGGGAGTATGGGGTATCTCCTCCATGCATTTCTCCTTTCGCTATTAGCTTGTGAGCTCTATCAAGAAGGAAGCAGGCAAAAGCTTTGGCTCTATACAAGTACTCCACATTTCCTGTGAGCCGATACAGAGATAAGAAGGCATAAGCATTCCCGCTGATGCCATGACAAATCCCAACACGGTTAAGAAGACCGCGGTTCCATACTACCTCTGCTGCAGCTACTGCTGCATTAAGAAATTCTTCGTCTCCCAAAACCTGGCATTGGAATATTCCATGTCACTTCAAGTTACAAAATCAACTGACAGGAAGTCTTGGGCAAAGGAAACCAAAAACTATATGAACTTGAAAACACAATTTCTTCATTCCTCTTTCTTCTTAGGAATGCAGTAACGCATTAATGCTCATTGAAAACCCAATTTGTTTCAAATGCAATGAAGAACACGCTAAAAATTGTCCAGGAATAACAAGGTAAGTTCAATGCAGAATTCCATAGATCGCGACCTCCTTGAGCTACTTTAACTTAGTTACAATATATTGAAATCAAGACAGGGTGAAAACAGTTGAAAGTAAACTTATGATGTTAAAAACCATGTCAGTTACCATATAAAAAAAGTTTGAAATTCGTCATTGTAAGAGATGCTAGAACCTCTTACATCTCAAGAGCATAAAAACAAAGAAAAAACTCGAGGGAGTTCTATGTAATGACTCGAACGCCCTCAATTAGTTAAGGAAATGATGAATCTTCGATCAGAAAGATGTCATACATAATAGCATGTGAGGCAAATATAATTAAAGGGGTTATTACCTCAGCTGCCTTGACAAGTGTTAGCACAATCCCAGGAGCTCCATGGCACCAATGCACGAGTAAATCTCTCCTCCTATCATTTTCACTTGCAGGGTAATTTCCACTGGGAAACCGATTCTTAACCATGTACTTTAAAGTCCCTTTGACATCTTCATAATCATCGGGTTTCAGTTCAAAGTCCATCAGAACATGCATAATTCCAGCCAATCCATGAGCTGCACCCCAGTACATCTCACCATACCATTCATGCATCAATGGGCTTCTGCCCTTCCCGCCCAATTTTCTTCCATTCTTGATGATTTCATTGATCACAGCAGCCTTAGACACAATCAAGAAAGGGTAAGTTTGGATTGGATACCACAACCGCCTGAGTAATGCCTGCTTAGATTACAGAACTTATTGTTGCACTTACAGTGTAGGTGGAAGGAATTGTTCCTTGGCCAATATGCTTATTTATAAATAGAAAGGCCCAGAGGTATCCAGCTCTACCATACAGCAATTCATCAGGAAGATCTTTGGTTAATTTTATCTGCTCTTAGAACAAAATGTGTATCTTGTAAGCTATCATGTAAAGGAAAATAGAACAGAAGCTTGTATAAAACAAACCTTCAATATGAAAGTCTAGCTATAAGCTTCCGTTTTGTTTTCCTATCACGTAAGGGAAAACACAGACGGAAGTTTATATAAAACAAACCTTCAATATGAAAGTCTAACTATAAGCTATCAAAACCAAACCTCTTTAAATTGAGATACATAGTAGAAAACCAATTGATCATCACCCATGTACTTGGCAACGACGGCACCTAGTGCACAAACCCCAGCTCTCCCACATAGGAACGTCACATCCCTATAATTCATTGATCAAATTAACACAATAATCAACCCAAAAAAAAGGCCATTTTGTTTATCCGGTTGCCATTTGAAACTTTAAATTGAAAAGCCAGGAAGTCATCACTTCCCTCAAGATCATTTTATCCAAAGTAACACAAAACATATACTAGAAAAGTCCATTTTCCTCATATTGCTGCCAATTGAAGCTTTACATTGAAAACCCCATAAAGGGATGCCAATAATTAAAACTCATGGATCCAATTAACACATAAAATCAACCAAAAAAATGCCCAATTTCTTATCTTGACGCCATTTGAAACTTTAAATTGGAAACCAAGAAAGGCGTGCGAGATATTGATCAAAGTAACACAAAAAATCAACAAAAAGAAGTTCATTTTGCAGATGTATCGTCAGTGGAAACTTTAAATAAACCACACTGCATATAACATAGAAAGGATAAGACTTTCCCCAGATCAAGCGCAAACCTTGAGTGTCGAGAAGCAGAGTCACAATCCTTCACAATCTGAGAGGAAACAGCAAGGTCATTCGTGTTCTTCGTCACCTGATAGGCCTTGAAGAGCAAAAAAGCAGTCCCAAGGGTTCCACAATATAGTGTAAAATCTGGAACCTGTTGCTTTGTTAGTCCCCATGTCTCCACCACTATCTGTTAGCAACCGCACCAGACACCAATTCATCAAAAACAACAATTATACCTCAATCTCAAACTAGCTAAAATCAATCATATTAGACTCATGGCATTCTGCTATTTATAGCCTGTTTGACCAAGCTTCCAAAATCTACTTAATTGAAAAAAGTAATTTATTTAATCAAAAGTCTTTTCCAAAAAAAGTACTTTCGAAGAGTAACCGTTTATGTTTGGCTAATCAATTTGAGAAACACTTCTACCAATATTAGAGCAACAAGTTCTTCTTGTCCAAGTTTCCAATAGTACACGAAAAAACTAATTTTTTAGCTTCCGAAAAACATATTTTGCTACTCCGCCCTCTAGAATTATTATTTTTTTGCTTAAAAGCTTGGCCAAATAACTAAATTCTCTAAATCAAACATTTTATTTTTTTTCACTTTTACCTTTCTAGAAGCTTGATCAAATAGACTATTAATAAGAGTCAACCATCAAAAACACATCAGAACTATCACTTTTTTCACGAGCTTCATACCTCAATCATAATTTGCTCTATTTTCCTACGTGAACTATGAAAAAGTGAAACTCGCAAAAAAAATGATATTTTAACAATTATGACTATGAATAATCTATCATATAAGGAAAGAATATCAAGTTGCTTACAGTTTCTTTGAGATCGAGAGCTGCGCGTTTGAACTTTTCGGATAGAATGTGGTATGGTGTTGAGAGAAGCTTCAACAGTGATTCATTCGTTCCTTGCGGAATTGGATGTTGTTCTTCTTCTATCGCCGGATTCTCTGCAACAAAATCCGGTATTACATTTGGGTAAAACCGATCCGCCATTTCTGCAATTCGACTGAAAATCGAAGAAATTTTCAGAGAGACGCTATACTAGGCTGAGTAGTCAACGACAGAACGACGTCGTAATTGGAAATATTTTTTTATAAAAATATTCTCAAATTCAACTTGATTTCCAAGAATTTTATGGCCAAACATGTTTACTCTTATTTTTTTAAGTGTCTTGAGGTGGCAATGGGTTTTCTAAAGAGGGTGGAATATAAAATCTAATCTCCGCAAAATATATAGTTGAAATGTTCATTCTTTCACCTACAATAACAACAATAATAACAAGATTCAAGAAGAATGTTGTTCAACTTTTATCTCTATCTTATTTCACGGGGTATGTTCTTATTGATTTATATACTATTTTTTTAATATGTTAGGGGCATTTTAAACCCTTATTTTAAAGTTATCATAGATGTAGACTTAAAAGTTAAATTCCATTAGCACAAAAGGCATTGCTAAAAGCCATAAATATAATTCATAAAGAGAGCAAACAACAGTTCCATAGTTCATCATACAAACTCTTCTTTACACCAAAAGTAAAATAAAGGCAAACAATTCATCTTAAATCTTCTGGATAGTATTGCCAATATCTTCGAAACATCTCAAGATTCTTTCCTTCCTTATGTTAGAGATAGAATGGTGAACCGTAGGTGTGTACTTTGAACCTCAATACTCTCGTGCTCGAAGTATGCTTGAAAAATGCATAGCCATTCGAAGAGGTACCTGGAAAATGCATAGAGCAAAGGGAACATACAAGTATTTACTTGCACCAACATTTATATTGTCCATGAGATCAGCTTCAAAGGCAGAAGTTGATTCGATGATGAACAAACCCAGAATTCTTGTGGTTCCTGCATTGATTGATCGTGTCATTGTATAGATAATGTAAATTTGTCCCTCACCCCTTTATCGATGACAAGGAAACATGGGAAAGCAAACAATCAAGCATATAAACCGTACAGCCCAGGTCGTTCATATCATACATACAAGGCACACTTTACTCAAACATGGTCACTGCAAGCATTTTACACATATAACTAGCAAGTTTCACTTCGACACATTCACAAGAGTTATAACAAGTCATGTATGACTTATGAAGGCTTACCTTAGTCACTATTTATCTAATTATCTTCTCGGGATAATTTTGTGTCTTTCCGTGAAATATGCTTGTTCCAACACATACACGGCAAAGGATAACATAACTACTTCACTTTAAGCATTTTAACAAACACATGCACTAGTTTGTACGCAAACCAATTCAAGGATTGTGTCTCGGTAACCTCAATGCTACCTTAGTAAAAGTGATGTTACGAGGTCAAGAATGCACTCAACGCAATCAATCTACATCACCAATAACATAACAACATCTTGTCCATCTGTAATGAAGAGACGGGGAAGAATCTCTTGTTAACACAAATGGGAAACTTTAATTTCTTTTTTCATTACTTTTCATAGGAGCTAGACACATGTCTTAGGTCAGTTTTCGGGCTAACCAGTATGATAATTTTTCTCTATGAAAACATATTGGGAAGGGCAGTTATACTGTATATGTGGGTGTGTGGGTGGGTGAGTGGGTATAAGGCTAATCATCCTTGACGGGAAGCATTGCTTAACCCCAGTTCCTGAAGAGGGAAAAACACACCAAAAACATACAACAGAAAAACTTGCAGCACTTAAATTTCAAGTAATCAACCTAAAACCACTTTCACAAACAAGCTCCATTTTGTACTAAGATATCCAATTTTGTTGTATACTCAACCGAATTACTCTATTAATCTTCATAAAGCTCACGGCAAGATAACCAGCGCACACTTTATTAATGCATTCAACCAGCTACTTCCTATTTGGCATTGAGGATTGTGTATCGACATGATATGAATTGTGCGGGAAGATAGAACTTAATTGAGCATGATAACAATAATATTTCAATGTTGCTGAAGTACCAAGACTCTTACATGATAAGGAAGAACGCAAAGGAACACAATGACAAAGATACAATGTGATCACTAAATATGAGAACATGGATACAAGACAATCAGAAAGATTTTTACCCTCTTTTAATTTCTCTGCCCCCACAATGTCACCTGTCATCACATCACTTCATATGAGGTGAAGCAAGGCTCTCAAAGTAGGTCGTAGCTTGAGCTTGACGAAAATAATCACCAGATGAGTAAACGTCAAGTCGCTTGTATGAACCATCCCTTGAATTATACAGTGCTAGCTCTTCCCCAAGCTGCAGCAGAAATTCATCACAATTCTCAGCCACGAACAATGGTAAGATATAAGCCCTACGATCAACGGGTAACGAGATGGTAACCAATTTAGTCCAGGATTCCTCAACACCATACTTCTTCATCACCCACACATCTGCCTTATTCTTTTCGTAGTTGCAACAACCGACTAAATACCCCCTCGAAACACCTAATGTCCAATAAACACCTCCATCTTCATAACTAGGCAGTGCTATTTTCCCATATCTCTCTACAGCCAGGTCCAAAGTAACAATCTCCCAAAACGAACCCGAACAATGACTATGGGACGCTTCCCAATGAAGTGCCCCATTTACAAACACACCAACCTTTCCATTTAAACTACCACTATTGAATCCCTCAATCATTTTCCAAGATTTAGCCTTTAAGCTATAAACATTAACCATATTCTCATATCTTCCCTCAATATGAAGAAAACTAAAGATCTTCACAACCTTATAATCTTCAAAAGATGCATCATAACCAAATCCATATCTAATAAAACAACCAACAGCACTACCACCACCGCCGCCGCCATTACTCCGAAGCATTGAATCAGGAAACACATTAAACTTTCCAGTACAGGGATTCAATAACATTACTGTAAACGAGTCACTAGTTAAACAAATCAACCCATTACAAGAACCCAAAATCCTAGCTGAGATAGCTAAAGATTTAGCAGGACAACTATTTCTAGCCACACCAAGGCATGAATTTTCAAACCCCATGTTGTAAAAATTGCATTTTCTACCTGAACCATAAACAGAAGCTACCACAGCAAGTTTATAATCAGTCAATTTGGGGTTCTTTAAGCAAAAATCGACATGGGTTTTGCTGAATAGAGGACTTGAGAGAAAAAAAACCAAGATTTCGAAACACACCTGAATTTCAAGAGGGATTTGACAGGTAACCTCAAGAAAATCTCAAAAATGATTTCTTGGGGAAAAATTGTTGACCCTTCAGAAGTTTGTTCCATTTTTTATGATTCAATTTGCTTATTGAATTGAATCAATAGAATCACTATTTTATTGATGCAATTGTTGTCCAAATTTCGCTTGCCGATAAGCTTATACGAGTGGCCTTTTAAGTAGTCTGATGTTGTCATGCCTGCTTGCCGATACAAGGGTATTTTTGGTATTATTAATTTGTGCGCTTTAAAATTGTCATGTGTATGTATTATCTGCGGTTTGGATAATTAGTCTAATATTTTTTACGAAAAATTACTTTAAAATGTATTTTTTTAATAAATAATTACTGATTTTAGCGATATTTTTTATCTATTACTATTTGTAGTAACATATCTGCAATATGTATTAAAATTGAATTATGTATGCAATATATATGTATTATAACTGTTTAAAATATATTATGCTTGTTTGGAAAGAAATTGACACATTGTATTATAAAGTGTATTAAAATATGTGATAAATGTATTATTTATCAATAAAACTTGTATTATATGTGTTTTATAAATTGTTCTCTATAATATGTATTATAAATGTATTAAAAGTGAACAAGTGAAAAGAAAATGTTATTGCTATAAAAGGTAAATATTTTCTTAATATAGTATATTTATGTAAGTTTCCTTTTTTTTCTTATCTATTGTATAAGTGGTTTTTAAGTAGTTGGACGTTGTTATGCCTGCTTGTCGATACGAGGGTAGTTTTTATATTAGGTAATTATTTTATATGTATTATCTTTGATTTGGTCGACCAGTTGGACACTCATCATCAACTTTACAAGTGGCTTTTGAAGGGGATGGATATTGTCATGTTTGCCTGTCGATACGAGAGAATTTTTATTTATGAATTTGAATGATTTAAAATTGTTATATGTAATGGTGTTTTTATGTGTACTTATCTAAGTAGCTGGTTGTTGTTGTGATTGCTTACCGGAGGGTACGTTTGGTATTATGAATTTGTGTGCTTTTAAAATTGTTATATGTAATGGGTTTTTTTTATATGTGTTGTCTCATGTTGGGTGGCCTGTCGAACATTCTTCGTCAGCTATAAAATGACCTATAAGCAGTTGGACGGTGTCATGTTTGTTGTCATTACGAGGGTATTTTTGGTAGATGAAATTGTATGCTTTAAACTTGTTATATGCAATTATCTTTTATATGTACTAATTCCTGCTTGGGTGGTAAGTCGAACGTCCTTCGCCAGCTATACAAATAGCATTTCAGGAGTTGAATGTTGTCATGTATGCTGCTTGTCGATACGAGGACACTTTTTATAGGCCAAATCCATCGATGGCTCCCTAAAGTTGACACCAAATTTCACTTAGACACCTTAAATGGGCGATGTTCATTTTAGACACCTCATGTAGGGGGGAGACGAGCACCGGAGATGATAAACAGTGTTTTGAGGTGGTGGGGTATTTGGAGAAGACAAATGTTTGGGGGGGGGGGGGGGGGGGGGGGGGGGGGGGGTTCTTTTATTGGTTTAAGTTTTATTTTAATTTGTAATTATTTGGTTCATGTGTCATTAATCGATTGGTTAATTTTTATTTTTACTCAAAATTAATGATTTAAAAATTACTTTTGACATAAATGACAAATGTCGTCATTTAATTTGTCACTTTACACGTGATTCGCGAGCGTAACACACACATTATATATTTTTGCTGATATAAAAAAAGTGTCCAAATGACACAACGGAACTCAACACTAAGTGTCTAAAATGAACATCGCCTACTTAAGGTGTTTAAGTGAAATGTGGTGCCAACTTTAGGAGGCTACCGATGGGTTAGGCATTTTAAAATTATTACATGTAATGATTTTTTTAGGCTTAAGTCATTGACA